CACTTACTGTAAATTACTCCTTTCCATTATCTATAATCTTTGGAAATCTATCTGGATTAGCCTAAAGAGGGCACCAAAGAGGTATCTGTGCTACGGAGCTTGGCACAGAGAGAGTCATTTCTGGTAAAAAAGAAAAAAAGCTCTTTGATGTATGGAATCTCGCAGACTGGAATCAAAGTTTAATACAGGGCAATTCTTAAAAAAAAATCTAAGTGCAAAAAAAAAGCACCTATAGCTTGTTGTGAAAAGAAAGTTGTATTCCTCATGTTGCTGCTTTATACCCGCATTGCACAAGTAATAAGAAAGCCATGGGGGGAGGGGGAGAAAAACAAGGACAGCTGATGTAAACATGTTATGAAATATCATAAGTTTGTGTAACTGAGGAGATTGTGCAATGCCTTTCACAGAAGCCATAATTTTTGCCTATAATGAAAAGACAGCTTTGAGGGGGGAAAAAAGAGAGAGAAATGCAAATTGAGAGAAAAAGGCAGGGAACAAACTGGCCATCAGACTTCAGTTCCAACAGGAAATATTCCTCATTCTTCAAGTTCCGACATCATTCAAGACCAGACGCTGACCAAAAAAAGTATCCCAAAAATGTAGCCAGATTGCTCAGACCTTGTAAGAACTTGCATTCTGAAGGTCAAAACCCAATCAACAATAAATACCAACAAGCCAAGGAATGTCTGAATACCAAAGGAAAACAATAATTGCCCTCCCTTGTTTGCCTGAAGATGGAACAGATATTAAAAAAAACGACATTCCAACTCCTTCTGGGAGAAACTTAAAAAAGAGTAGAAACCAAACTGAATTGCCTCCTTTGAAAGGGCAGGAGATATTCAGGAGGGGTTGTATTTTGCCTATGGAAGTGACTGGATCATTTAAACAGCATTTCAGCACGGAAGGGCAGATCGAAGTGCCTCGTGAAATAGCATTAGAATTCATGGAAGAGAAAATGATCCGAGCTGGAATAAAAGAGAAGAGCTGCAAGCAAGAGAGAGAGAGAAAATCCATACTTTAAAAAGTAGAATTCACCTGACAGATTTCATTAATTTGCAATGCAGCAATAATCATATGACAGTAATACGCTCTAACACAGAAAAAAAAAATCTCTTTACATTTTTTTGATGTAACAAATGATTTACAATCCATTGCAAGAATACTTGTTTCAGTAAATTGGGGTTGTAGTATGACCATTTATTAGATGAGAATATAAAGAAAGTGTAGAACTGCATTTATAAAAACATGCAGAAAGTCTGCCATCATTAGGATACTGAAATTAAAACAAAACAAAACAGGAATACATGTAATCCCGTATCAGATTTTGAATTTAGATTCTAAGCTTTCAGTTCAGAAAGCCATTCTGCTTTGTGCATATAATATCTAGTCAGGCAACTTAAGTCAAGGTAAGTTACGAATCAAGCTAATGACACTAACATTAAACTCATTTTGGGAAGTAAATTTAATTATTTCAATCAAGCTTATTCTGGTAAGAATTGTAATTTCTGCCTTTTCAAACAAAAAGTATTGCAGCCTCTTCGGAATCCTAAAAATGCTACTTTTATTTTAATATGGAAATTCTTTTTGCAGAAATAATTATGGGAGAAAAAAGAATCTGGAATCAGAAACAATTTTGATGAAGATTTACAAAAAGAGGTGCGTGGTTCTTTGGAAATCCTAAGAAATTATTTCCAGAACCCTACAAATTCTGTTCACTGCAAATCTACTTCCACCAAAATAAAGCACAGAGAAAAGGAGGTGGGTGTCATAGTAAAAAAATGCTAGCCGTTACAAATATTAAAGAAACATTTTGCATTTCAGAAATATTATCTTGGAAAACTGAAGACAAGTATTTGTAAAGGTGGGGGGAGTGGAGAACAACAACTTATTTCCAATGAGTGGGGCAGAAGTGCAATATCTCTAACCCACCTTTACTACATAACTGATCCAATCTTTTCCCGCTTCTTACAACTTTTGATTCATATTTTTCACCCTAGTTATAAAATCAGTTTACACAATAACAAAAACAAAAATAATGCAGGTGCATTATTCCCAATTTTGAAAACTAAAATCAGCACATTAAATAAACTTTCACAAACATGTCTAATTTTTGTAAACTACCCAAGTGTAGCCTAATTTTGCCAGACTCCTTCCCACAGGTCAACTATAATTAAAATAACCTGTATTTCTATGGGACTTTGAAATGATTTTCTGGACTCCATTTTACATCTGGATTCCATTTTTTCTAGATTTGCACAACGGTATTTCAACTACATCACAGCCATATCCCAAATCTTTAATTCTGTCCTGGCAGTTATGTGGGCTGGCAACACATTTCCTGAAGGCACATCTATTTTCATGTTTTATTTTCACAAACTCTAAAAATATTGTTTAAAAAACCCAACTCAGGAATTGAAGCAGTTCAAAGAGGAGACTCCCAATGTGCCTTCTCCTGGGAACAGACATGTAAGGCCTGGACTGTCTCCAAGAATTGGTGCCTTTCACAATTCCCTTTCTCTCACTGAACTTTTCTTAAATAAGAAGATAAAAAAAGATACAGTAGCTATGCTGGTCTTTGACCATAATAAAAATTTGATTTGATTAGATACAGAAGAGGAATGAGCAACCCATATAAAGAAAATTCATCTCTCCATAAAGTCACATGCACTGCAACTGACTTCATTCCCCCTTTCTGTCATTTAAGTGACCTCTTACCTTGATTAAGTTACTCTCACAAGGGTCCAGGTGAGTCTCAACCACCCTCGGGTTACACAGGCCTTCAGTGTGGGTACCCCTGGGCTCCCAGATGTGTCCCTTAGAAGCACTAAGGCTCACTGCCACTCTAATTTTAAAATCATTTTTACCAACTTTTTTTTTTTTTAAGTTAAACATTGGTTTTCTGCTGGAAAATAGTTTGCTGCAAAGCAAAGCACCAGTTTCCAACACAATCATGTGATGCAGTATAAGCATGTTAGCTCATTTGTGTGTTTTGGTGTGGTGTGCTTTTTGTCTGAGATTTTCTTGTACGTGGGAGTATAATGCTCTGTGCGTTTCTTTAAACATAACCTGTTTGCATTATGTGAAAAAAAGTATTTTGTTGTGCTTTGTGCAGGCAGATACGTGTTTTGGCACTTGACATCCAGACCACACCTCTGCATTGTATTCATTTGGCAAAGTTATTTATCTCTGAGCCTAAGTCTCTTCAATTTGCCCTCTGTGAAATGGGTACTGGAGTAGAAGACTGTGGGCTCAAAGCAGAAAAGTTGTGTTTTGAGGTCCAGGATTCATTCTTGCCTTCATAGATAAAGTTCACAGGTAACCTACATTTTCTGTTCTGTAAAACAGGATTTTTGTGACTTGCCCTAACCATCTTGGCCGGGCATTTTGTGAATGGGCAAGTCCTACTGCCCTCTCCAAATTGTTAAGAGGACCTACAACTTTCTCTCAAAATGTGCCCAGAGGCTTAAAAGGACTGGGGGCTCCTGGCTTGTTCAGCTCTTGTGGATGGTCCATCACCAGAGCTGATTAGTTTCTACTTTGTAGAGGGAATCTCGCCCCACAGCCACAGAATCTCAACTTTTGGAAAGACCATAACATAAGAAGTCAAGCCAAGGAAAGGTTACAGATGACCAGAACTACATTTAGCCTGCTGTTTGCAAGCTGCTCAGTTCTCCTAGGGTCCCACTGAGTAAACCTAAAGATGGACTTAGTTCATCTCCTTTCATATCTGCACTCTTAAAAGTCTAAAGAAGAACCTAAATTCCTTCTCTGGCCCTCCCCCAACTGAGGTACCAGACATTTTGGCATTCTTTCCCAGTGGCAATGATTGAAGAGTGAGGCCAACATGTCCCCTTTTATACTGTTTACACTCCAGTGGAAACCTGTGTTAACAGTTCCAGAAGACTACTCATGATTTCCTCTCTTTTGTTCCCCACTGGACATTTCAGTTCGAGAAAAACATGCCGCCAGCCGTCGCACCCACCCAACCCTTGGCTCTGGCGCGGAAGGCCCTGTACTTTGAGATGGCTACGCAGGAGTTCTCTTCGCCCTGGTTTTTCAGACTCTCGCCCAGGAAATCCCTTCCATTCCTCGTTGGAGGAACTCAAGGGACACTGAACTCCTCTGGGGAAAACGGACCGCAGATACAACATTTCCCCCCAGAAGAGACCCCGAAGCCGAGAGAACTAGAGCGACCCCCACACCCCCACCGCGCGCCTCTGCCTGGTAGCTCCACCAGAGGCCAGCACAAGCTGCGGGAAACAAAACGACCAAAGAAGGGGCGCAGGGCTCGGGTTGCGCTGAGCTCAGAGTCCCGGCCGAGGGAGCACGGGCGGGCGGACAACCGCGAGAATCTATCCTAGCGCGAAAGGGAAAACAAGGCAGGGAGAGGACCGACCGCCCACCCATCCACCCACCCCCAGCCTCGCTTACTTAGCCGGCGCGCCGCCTAATCGGTGGCTCAGCGTCGCATTGGGCTTGTCACTCCGCTCGGGGTTTCTCCTGCCTACCAACTTCCAGTGGCTCTCTCCTGCCTTGCACCTCCACAGAATTGCTCGCGCTCACCCGCAACCGCCCTAACTCTTGAAAAGCAGCGGCCGCTTCCGCCTCCTTTTAAGGTGTGAGCGCGCAGAGAGGCGGCTATTGGACTGGAGGCCAAAGGAGACGCGTTGCCCGCAGTTCCCCTCTAATCTCCGACTAAGGGAGAGGTCGAGGCGCGCACACAGGAGGTGGACTGGGTGTGGTTAGCGAACTTTACTATTTGATT